TATGAAATATATTAAATAAAAATTCCTTTATGAAAGGCTTCTAAAGTTGTCTAACATTTCTTAAATCAATCTGTAGCACGTAATCAGTAAAACCATATCATTTAAACAGAAAGATCATAACTTAGAACCTCACCCTTGGGCAGCTGTATCCTATTATGGGCTGTAACTTAGCACATGACTTTCAGAAGTTGTTAAAATTGAGTTCAAGCTAACAAATCTCAACTGTAAAATAAAATAAAATAAAATAAAATAAAATAAAATAAAATAAAAACCTCTGGTGAGATTGGGCAGCAGCCTATGAAGAGGTCCCATGGGATAAGTGTCTATCGTATTTTATTTTGATCTGTTAAATGTATTTATATATGAGGAAAAAGGTATTAGGACAGATATGGCCCTTAAGTGACTGAGAAGTTACTCCCCTATTTAAAAGACTTTGAAATATTTTCTCCTTGGACTGTCTTTCAATATTTAAACTGTCAAATGAGCATTTGCTGATAAAAGATAAAGAGAATGTCTTTTATTCTGCTGATAGCTGAGCTGAAGTTTGCATTTTATCAGTCTAAATTCATATAAAAGTCATTGTATCCTGTTACAAATAAAATAAAATTGGCATTTGAACAGGCTTCCATAAACACATGCATTTCTAGTTTAATACTAAAAGTATCAACATTTACTCTATTGCAATTAAGATGGAATCATTATTCTGTCCTGAAATGGAGTTCCTTCAAGGGCAGTTTATATGGTGGAATACACTGCAGCATGTGCAGGAATTTTACATTTCTTACATCCACCCCTCTCTTTGAAATGTGAAAACTATAAATGTATCATCAAATTTATAGATTTCAAGTAACTACACTAAAGAGAATGGAGCGGAAAAAATACTTGACTGGGGAGATTTTTTGTTCTCCCAGGCTATACACTGCCAGATTCATGATTACTAAAATGTTTTTAATAGCCTTGTAGTCTGGTCTGAGTTTTCCAAAGTGTAGAAATGTACTCTTTGAAGTTAAGTATTCACCTATCTGAGATATATATATATATAAACCTTCCATGCAAAGAAATGTTTTTCAAATAAAAATAAGTTAATGCACCTCAAATATGTGAGAAATTTGCATCTAACTGAGCAACATTTAGCAAAGATTCCATCTTATCTTTTCATCAGAGGGCAGAAAAAATACTAGCGAAATCTAACATAAGACTTTATAAAGCTAACCCGTCACCCATTAACTCTTGTAGCTGAAATGACAATCAAGATAGCTTTTAAACTATCTCTTGGAGAAAGTTATTTTGATGTGGCTTTCAGTTAGTGAAAGTAACTTCTTTCCAGAGACATATTTACCATTCTCCCACCTTATATTTTGCCTGGATTGGCCAGTGGTTTCCTACTGATAAAAGCTACAATTCTTCCTAGCATAGATATCAATACACACACCTCCAGCAGATGCCATCTATGCTTTGTCCCAGGACACATAAAGCCATAAACTTCTGCATAGTTTAAGATCATGTTTAACTCCAGTACCTGTGTGTCAACAAGATTCAACCTGCTTCTTTCTATTCAGCTCCCATTCAGTCTATGCTCTTTGTATACAGCCTTTGGCCAAGTGGCTTCCCCCCCTCTAAAAATGCTCCCACCTCTGTATTTCTGTCATACTCTGTTTAGATACAACTACTTATTAGCCTTCCCTACCTTGCAGACAAGCTCATTTTTCTCCCCTTTCTGCTTTCTCTTACAGCCCAGATAATATGGAAACTGGAAGGTCTAAGAGGCAGTGTCATGTAGTGAGTGACTAAAGGTAAGGAGTTGGAAGACAGTATTTGTATCTAGCCTCCAACTCCTACTACAGTGGGACTTAGTCAATTTGCTTCTGTTTCTTCACTTATAACAACAGTACCTACAACACTATCTACATTTACTGGTTTGCTAAGAAGAATAAATGTTTCTGCCATAGTATCTGTCATACAATGAGAATTTATCATCCTAGTTTCTATAAAATGAGTGAAGTAACACTCTACAGATTAGATAGGTAACTATCTTATCCTTTGGTAACCTGAAAAATTAGTGCCCGAGTTAGGATCTGCTACACAGCCATCTTGAAATCATGTAGTAGTTCCTTTTGAGAAAGCCAAGAAATGGCCAAACAGTAGCAAACAAAGAGCAAGTACATGCTCCACAAGAGAGGACAGGACTGCTCTTAAGACAGCTCATCCTTGCTTGTGATTCATGACCCATGGAATGAAACTGGATGTCAGAGAGCTCAGAGTGGAAGGAATCATGGCCATATGTCATAATCTCTCTGCAAACAGATTCTGTCTGGCCGTGTGGAGCTATCCAGTGCTGGCTGCTGCAGAGATGCTCCTGTTGTGGAGATCAGTTTCATGTCAGCCTTCAGAAGCAAACTTCATATTGGGAGCCCACCTTATCCCAAACTTCTTTCATTTGAATGTCCACTAGGAAGTAAAGGAAAATGCTGTGGGAGTTCTTTCCTTTCAAAAGAGAAAATAATACCTTTAAAAATCACAGTTATCATAGATGAACAGCTTATCTAAACTATAACAGACTGAACATATTGTAAAATGCCATCTGAAGGCTGAACCATGCATTCAACATTATTTCCTTAAGCGACTGTAACTGCTCCCACATGGTTCTACCTCAGGCCAGAAAACTCTGAGTGCTTTTCCTAATCAACTTGAAGAGAAAATTTACCCATAGTTGTTTGTTTGTAAGCAAATCAAAAGCCAACCGAGGGTGATGAATGACTCAGAAGGCCAATTTTTGCTCTCTGTACTGTGTGTCCAAAGAGTACAGGAAACACCACTTTGCATTCACAGAAGAAAAGTTTAGAAACAATGAAGCAGTTTCCTTTGTTCACTTGAGTTGTGTCTTATGATTTCTCTGGGTCCCTTTTCATCTTCCAGGAAAGCAAGGAAGCAATTCTTTTTATGTGTTCCTCAGGGCAGAGACCAGATGGGTGGCAGCAGGGGAGGAGTCTGGAGTGAGCTAAGAGGACAGGAAGAAGACTTTTTAAGAACTGCTATTAAGGCTGGTGGCAGCTTTTTAGATTTCTAGCAAGAGTGTGGTGGCAGCAATTTAAAGTTGTGCCAAAGTAATAAAGTTCATGAGCCAGACTGACATGTGTAGCATCCACAGTTGCCAATGTATGGCTTGCTCCTCAAACAGACGTCTGATGTCCTGACTCAGAAAGCAAACCCATTTCCACAAAGATTGGTAGAAACATTTGTCATTTAGCTTATGTTGCTTAGTCATTTTTTTTTACAGGTTAGAGAAGCCAGAAAGGAGAGGACTTAACATTCTCATAGTCACAACCAGTGAGCTGAGCAGCTGCAGAGTAAGCGGTTCATTCCAGAGTAAATCCGCAATGACAAATGCTAATGTTGGGATTTTTGTAGTTGTTAATGAATAAAATATATGAAATGTGACACAGGTTTTCCATATGAAGAAACCTTCTGTGTGGATTACCAGGGTCTCAGAAGAAAACAACAACAACAAAAAAAATGTAGCGTCCTTGCAAAAATTTTGGTGACAGAACATCGTCTCTTTAAAAATTCCTAGTCTCTCTTCTAAGCTGTGTGCAATTGGAAGAAATTAGTTCAGCTTAAGAACATCATACAGCCTCAGATTTGAACTTTTCCCCTCCATTTCCTTTTACTGCTTCTGCTCTCCAAATTTTAGATGTAAGTTCTTACAGTTTATCCAAAGCTTTGGACATGCCAAAGCCTTTTACCCTTCACTAAGAATTGAATGCATTGAAGGAGAAAGATATTCTTTCCTTTTCTTTCACTGAGAGAAATATACCAAGCCAGAATAGACACCAGGCTAAGCTTGAGGATGGAGTGATTTTTATTATTTCTAACATAGCTATCAACAGATGCTTTCAGGCAATATTCTTTTTAAAATAAGAAAGTAGCTTTTATTTTATGTCTTAGAGGACAGATTGGTTACAATTTAATTTCTAAGAGGGAAATTTTATAGAATAAAGAGGCCAGACTTTTATCTCTCTCTTTTTTTCATCACACATATGAGAAATATAAGCTGCAGAGACATCTGGAAAGGACCATTATTCACTAATCAGAAAGCAAAATCCAAACCACTGATACTTTGATGGAGACACACATCTAGAGTCACAAGGAGGAAAGCTGTAACGTATTGCAGGCTAAAAACATTCCATATGCATTTTCACCTTTTGGGCAGATCCAAAGTGCAATTCTATTTCAGAAGCCCTTTGTAATCTGACACCCACTGTAGATAAGATACACTATGAAGATAGTCTGTTTTGCAGCAGCGAGAAATCAAATTGGTTCCAGAAGCGAACTTTTATGACAAATGGTTTAATAGTATTGCTGGAATTGTAAAGCTTGACTGAATTATTTTTCATAATCATTTTAGAAAAAGATTTAAAAATAACTTTGCCATGCCATGTGGGATGGGAGTGGGGATGTCAGGAATGGTGTTTAAGTTAGAAGGCATTTCATTTTATTGGTATTATAATTGTTATTAAAATTTAGGAGCTCAGTGGTTAAAATTCAATTTTGTTTGCTACAAATAATTCTAGGTAAAAAAACAATACCTGACTTAATATGAGTAGTTATGTTGTGGAAGATTAAATAGACTAACAACGAGCAGTGCACTTTTTTATTATAATTTCCAAGTTATTTTTAGTTTTCACTGAGTTCCAGTCAGCTTTGTTTTATTTAAAAAGCATCTGGAAAAGTTCATTAAGATTTGGCAGGTTTTAGACTTTAGAAAAAGAGTCATCTACACAGTATTGTCTTGGCAAAATAGCCCAGAGTCTTGTGGATGTAGGTAAAAGGAAATCATTCTTCTGACTGAAGTCGGGAACAATTTAAATATCGCCTAGCCCACAGCACACGACTACAAAGATCTAGCAGCAATCGTAGTTAAATAGGATGTGACTAGACACTTAGGACTATTTTCTAAAAAGTCAGGAAAAAAAAAGTTTTTTTTTTCCTTCAGTACTTACAGTCTTTGAAGACCAAAGCCGGGTCTCTGTGAGGCAAGGCTTGGGCAATGATGTGCCTCAGAGATTCCAAGGTTCTGTCCATCTCGGGTCTGCCTGTGCAAGCCTCCTGCACAGTCTCCTCATGCCTGAATTCTTGCAGCTCTGGACTGAATTTGTGCAGCTCATTGATGCACTGGATTACCAAAGAATCCCTTTTAACATCTGCCAATCAGACATTTCCCAGAATCTAAAGACCCCCCAGGGCCCTCCTCTCGGGCTCACTTATCTTTGTTGTATGCTGAGCTAATTAGCCTGAAAGGCTGGCTGACAGGCTGGTTCCCATGGCTTCATTCTGTTAAACACACCCACCTACAGGCAGGCTGGGGAAACTCACTAATCATGAGAACAGATCTCTCCAACCAGATTTTGCCTGGATGCTGCGTTGCCTTCCCATTTGGGCATTTCTTTTAGCCTTCCATCTTTAAATGTGCTGCCCCAGAATATGGACTCAAGAAGCATCTTTCTTCAGTTTAAATTACAAGAGGAAGGCTTGGGACTGCCATCATTGAACAACCACTACAACCAACATAATCTAAATTCCCCTTTGGAAAAGAGGTACTATAAAGATTATGGTTGGAGTTAAATTATGCATTATGTTTGAAATCAGAATCCTCCCTCCAATGATAGGCACTTCTGGTGAGTAGTAGCAAGCAATACCTAGAAGACTATTTTATAGTTTGCCTGACCATATTTCTTTATCTATTACTGTCCAAGACAAATCATTCCCAAGATTGACTTTAATTAATCCTGATAATTTATTCTGTTAAAAATTTCAGGATGAAGGTCTGGAGAAATGGCTCAGTGTGTAAAAGTTCAGTTCCTTTAAAATAGCCAATCTCTTTAAAATTTAGTTTTTTAAAATTCGAATATATGGGCTCCTATAAAATCAAAATAAATTAAATAAGAGGGAAGAACTAGAACACAGTCACAATCAAATCAAATCAAATCAAATCAAAGCCATACTCTAACAGTGCAAAGATTCCTTGTGAAAGCAAGGGATCTTAGTTCAAATCCCCCACATGTATGTAAAAACAAGGCATGGTTGTGTGCACCTGGCTGTGTGTACAGGTAACACTAGGGTAGGGAAGCTGAGACAGGTGGATCCCAGGACCTGTAGACTGTCAATTTAGCAGGAATGGGTAGTTTCATAGTCTCTAAAAGATGCTGTTTCAAAAAATAAGGTGGAGAGTGATAGAAGCCATCTATCATTGTCCTCTGGAATGTCCCTGCATACACACCTGCACACACCACAGACACTACCACTGCCACCACCACCACCACCACCACCACCACCAAAAAGAACAGCAGTAACAACAGTGACAAGAATTTCTAGTGACAAAGAGCGAAAAGCAATACCTTTTAAAAAAAGTTTAATAGAAAGTTATTAGAACTCAGTGAATCTAATTCTTTGCTATCTGTGCTCTCTATAGTACCCACATTTATATGTAAAATAATACTTTGACAAGAGACAAACATGTCATGTGATCACACATCATACTGCAATAATATGTAATATCAGAAATAAAAGAACTGACTTTACAGGCTGTATGCTCTTGTTATTAAGGAGCTGTGAAGGACTTCTTTGCTTCGTTTAGTCTTTTTTACACAGAACTCACCACAGATTGTCTTCTCATGTTCCTTCCAATTTTAACATTCCATTATTATGAAACTAATTCTTTAAAGACTGTATAAATAGAATGTCTTTCATGTGATCAATTTCTTCAGCTAGTTGTAGAAAGGTGGGCTTAATAAAAAACAGAGAAGGAAAAAGTAGCAGTGATAGTAAATGTTGTTATAATGACTATTCCCTGGCAAATACTCACAGGAACTATAGGCCACTCATGGAAGAAGTTCAGGATTGTAATATAGACAAAAACATTAAATGAAGTGATATATAGATCTATGTATATTTCATATATATGCTTGCACCTGATGCGAAGAAACTTATCTTGGGTCACAAAGTGTACTACATATGGCCTGCATCAAATTGTGAGCATGTGTGGGTGTGAATGCACATATGTGTGTATGTGTGTTGTATTTTGCTGAAGACCAAACCCAGAAACCTGCACAGGCAAGACAATCAATCTATCATTGAGCAATAAATTCAGGGCAGAAAAATATGAATGTTACTGTCTGTAGTTCAAGAATTTAAAATTTATTTATTATTTTGGGAAAAGAAGTTCTTAATTTCAAAAATAACCTGTATGACTGGTTGATTAAAAAAAAAAACTCTGTTATTCAGCGATTAGACACATAGTATGAATGAATGTAAGTATTTTGAGAGTAACACAATACTGGACACTAAGACAATTAATGTTCTCATTATAGAACCAGGACAAATAATATAAATTTACCAAAACAGTGATACTGATAATAGGAAACAGAAAAGTTAGAAATGATTGATGCCTGGAGTCCGATAAGTGAATGGCTTTTTCCTGTAGATTCAAATTGAATGCAATAATCCGTTAAAACATTTTGTTTATTTTATGTGTTTTGGTGTTTTGCCTGCATATGTATCTGCACCACATGTATACCTGGTGTCTGTGGATGCTGGGACTTAACCCTGGATATTCTGGAAAAGCAGCCGTATCTTGAGACTCAAATTCTAATCTTAAAAATAGCGTGTTAGAAGGAACAATAAATGTGGGTTCAACAGACTTAGGATTATATTTTTGTCACCTAACTGTGAAAAGCGATTCATCTCTGAGTTTGCATTTCTTATGCATAAGGGAGTTAATCTGAATGTTCCCTGGAAGTTCTAAAACCCTGTGATTCAATGGTTATAAATAAACACAAATATTAGCACAGATTTTCTAGACATGTAGAAAGTCATATACTCATTTCACAAATGCTAGACTGATATTCAGAAAGTCACTTCTAGTCCCATTCAACCTAACAATTCATCTGTAGTGAACATAACAAATATCAATATGATAAATTCAAAGATACTGTCACAGTTACATAAGAATTTGTAAGAAAACTATGAACATCTTCACAAGACCTTCAGAGCAAATTTACCAAGACAGTTCAAAGAAACATTATAGCCTGTTATGAGTCCCATTTAATAAATGAAAATGAAGGCAGATTACACAACATCAGAGCATTGTTTCCTCATTATGTCAATCTTTCAATAAAAGTTTTCCCAAGCCTCTGTTTACACATTCTTCTTTAAATGCTTATAAAACTGTCTTAGGTCTACTGGGCAGTGATGACATGCACCTTTAATCCCAAGACTCAGGCGATAGAGGCAGATCTCTGTGAGTTTGAGTCCAGCCTGGTCTACAGAGCTAGTTCCGGGACAGCCAGGGCTACACAGAGAAACTCTGTCTCAAAACACAAACAAAAATTTCTTAAGTCAAACTTATGTTACTAGCAGTTAGAAAAACTACTATGTGGTTTCTTTATTTTCTTTGATGTAAAAAGCAATTAAATTAACAAAGATGGAAGAGTCAAGGAAACATTGAGCCTATTCAATGAGTCTATTTTAAAGTTCAGAACTTCCACTGTGAGCATTAACTATCTGAAGGTTATGCCACGGGCACAATTAAAATATGGAAATGAGGTAAGACTACAGTAAAGAAAATGATGTTCTAACAAACACACCGTGAGAGTACTAATTTAAAGGATGAGAAATGGCATCCAAATGACACGCTCAGTGATGGAAACTCAGTACCCAATGGTAAGAGAGGGCTCCTTCAATGAGACGATGCACATTCCAAGCTTCCAGAAGTTCACACGGAATACAAGGAAAGAGCTTTGCTTGTTTCACAGTAGCATGCTTAGTGTGAAATAACAACTCACTATAAATTTATAAAAATGGTATGAGCATGAGGGCTACCAATTGAAGTTTAGAAAACACTAAGTATTCCAGAGGGTCACCATTAGTTAAAAATGAAAAAGAAAACTTCTCCTCATGCCAACAGCATGCTATATTCTGGAGAAGGTGACCAACATTGTCAAGGGAACTCCCAAAGGATAGGGCTGTAGTCATAGCCTCAAATAGCATACACTCTTTTAAAAAATTATTCCTATTGTGTGTAAGAGAGTAAATGGTGACTATGAGGTGCACATCCCTTGGAGCACATGGAAATCAAAGGAGATTTGGGGAGTTGGGTCTCTTCCTTACAGGGATTCTGCTGATCCAACCCAGGTAGCCAGGCTTGTATTGCTAAACACCTTTATTCAGTGAGCCATCTCAGTGGCCACTGACATATTTTTATTTCTAGTGAATCAGATGATAGGGAAGGAAGGAAAGGGGACCCTAGGGAGAGCTGGGAATACTATCTCTTTGAAATAATGTCTCATTTTCCTTGATGCTAAGTTTATGTCAAGATGGATGAAATGAGGAATCTAAGGCATGGAGTTAAAGTGTTACAGACCTTGACAGATTCCAATGAAGATGGGCAGGGTGTACTGGAAGGGCAAAATGGGGGAACTGGCAAAAAAGGTCAAAGCCACGGATCAGTAGTATTTCCCAGGAAGGGTGGGAGGAGAAAGGAGACTCGGAAGTTGATGTTGAGGTTTTGTGTCACTTCAGCAAGAAAGAAGCTAGAAAGGGGAATAAGTGGCTTTTAAGCATCCACTTTAATAATTAAAAGAAGTGAATGGACAGCTCAGAGTTTTATTGCCTCCTGGGAGGAGACCAATGTGGTATTTGGACAAAGGCTTTTATAAGAGACAGCTGAAAAGGGAATTGCCAACACTTTCTCCAAACAACAGTTTTAAAAACACAAGTAACATGGTAGAATTTTACTCTAGACTTTTTAATACATTGTTATTTGTCTACATTAGGAAAATTTCAATAAGTAATTCATTGAACCACATGATAAAAAACAGTGAATATGCCATCTGTACAGGAAGGGAATGTATGTTTCTTCATTGTTATAAAAAATATTTTTAAAAAGCAATTACAAACTGTCATTTATCCTTACTAGGGATGTCTGAATTTACCCTCCTAGCCAGAAAACATGATAAGAATAAAGGTTTCACCTACTGGAGCCCCTTGGTTGATAAATTTGGGGTTCCTGCATAGATACATATTACTTTGTCTCTTACATGACCAATTGTCCAGCTCTGTCTTAGAATTTGGTCTCCAAGAGAAGCACACAGTTTATTCTTTAAGAACTATGTTACAGGTCAATCATACCTGTGGAAGGTTTTGTCCACAGGTTAACATTTTTAGAATAAACTTGGAATTGTTCAAAGCTGGAAAAATTTGGCTGTTTCATTTTTTAAGATTGAAGATAATGATGTCAAGCCATTTCGTTGTTAGATATGGATCCATGAACACAGATCTGATACTTTAATGACAACTGGCTTACTTCCAAGCAATTCATGTTTTGAAAAGGATTGCTTAAAAATTTTGGCTCATGGAGTAATTTTGTCAATGACTTTTTAAAACAATGATACTTACCTTCAAAGTTTAACCAATTATTAGTTCCTTTTCTTCTCCTCTCTCAAAGTTCCTCCTTCAGAACTGGGATTTATACAGGTGATTGTTTGAAAAAATTGACACAAGATACAGGTGTAGATTGAGATTTGTCTGTGGAGAGGCTACTGAACTCCAGTAGTGTTTGATCCACTCCTCAAATGCAGAAGATGGGATCTTCTACAGAGTGTGCTGGGGCTGAACATTTTTAATAGTCATGTTTCTGGAGGTAAGGTTGTGCAGAATGCTTAAATTTTGCAAAAATAATAAATTAAAGTGAACATATATATATATTCCCTATATATATATCCCAACACACACAGAGAGAGACTAGAAGAAAAAGTATCAGCTTAAAACAAACATAGGGAATGCTTATTGGTTACAAACAAATGACTTAAGCATGAGATTAGCTGATGATGCAAGGTTCCAGCAACCAGTAATTTCACAGCTTCATCTATTTTAGATGAAGTTTCCTGTAAAGGTTGCATCATCAGTAGACACTTAATTCAGTTCCAACTACTTATGGATATGCTTATGTTAAGATAAAAGCCTCATGCCCTGCTATTTCACACTCTAAACCATAATTTCTGTGTACTTCCTAAGCTGTCATGACCAGAGGACTGCACTTAGCGAGCATTCTGCTGACAAAGAACTATGTCTTTTAAAAATTTGTTTGAGGAATAGAAAACAGCACACAAAGGGGGCCTATTTTCCCACAAATTGTAAAACAGAGAAAGCCCAAAGTACAATATAGTAAATATACTCCTCTAAAAAAATACTTGGGTAACCTTGAGTTCAAGGACAAAGTGCTCCCTTCTATGCCCTTCTTCCCCAAACTCCAAGAATGTTCTCATTGAGGACTTAACTATTGAGATGGATTTTCTTGAACACCTAAAGGAAAGAAAGGCCATGTTTTCTAAAAAGTTAAGCATGGCAGGATAGATACCAAAATCTGGTTGTGTGAACTGTTTCCTTAGCAATTCTTAGTGTCTGTAAGGTAAAACAGGTAGTGGCCAGGAACTCTAGAGACCTCAATCAGGTATGAGCTCCACACCACCCCAAATGTGACTGTCCTGCAATTCACCTTGCTATCATTCATTAGCTCCATCTTGTCATCAACCTTCTCTCAACCTTACTCATTCTGTGACTTGAGGCAAGAGAGTTGACATTTAAAAGTGTTTGCTTACAACTACAATTAAAATGAGGTTATAAAGAATCTCAGTAACTCTAGTATGATAGAATACACCCTGTTCCACAATGTTTCTGTCTTTTACATTTCAGTCCAAATTCCTTTCAAATAATTTTTTAACTTTGACAAGTATCCCTGAGGCCCACCTATGCCTCTTTAAAATCAAGTCACTGTGCTGCTCAAAACCTAGCTGCTTTTCACTAATGTAACATTGTCCATTCCACTGAAGCCATCTGTGGTGTGGTTCCTTTTGATTACAGCAAATCACACTATACTTCTGTCTTCCAAATTTTCTGCATGACTTCCTCTTTTTACATTCTGTCTTTCTCAGTCTGTTTATTCAATCAAGTCCCTCTTCCACAGATTACTTCCCCCAGCAACACTGCCCTGCACCCTTTGTTTATCTGCATCAGTTTGGTATCAGGCTCTCCTGTCATAAGGTTGGTCTGCTTAGTTGTAATTTGTCTGAGGTGATGCGCCAATTACAAATTGTATCTTAAAAACCCATGGTAGCTTTACACTATCAAGGTTTTGAAAAATGGATGTAGGAATAACATATATATATATAATTTTACCTTTTAATCTAGGACAATTATAATAGCATTTAAGTGGTCACTTTCCTTAAAAAAGAAAGGGGATGGAAAGGCATATATTGTGATAATCATACCAAGCAACAAGTTTATATTATGAAGTATTACATTGTGAAGTATACCTAAACTGCTTTGACACTAATTTGTTAGGTAATTGGTGTGTGTGTGTGTGTAAGCTAAAGGTCAACATTGTCTTCCTATACTGCCCTTCACCTTACTGAGAGTTCCTCTCAGTGAAATGGAAGCTTGCTGTTTTGGCTAAACTGGCTCTCCAGCCTATCCCAGAGACTCACCTACTTCTGAGTCCTCACCTCCCCAGCATTCGAATTACAGACATGCAACACAGTGTATGCTTTTCTATACAAGGGTGTTGAGGACTGAAATGTAGGTCCTCATGCTTGCACAGCTAGCAATTTACCAATGAGCCAACTCCTTCTGCTATATAATTTTATTTTTTTAAATAACAATTTGACATGTTTTAATGGCACTATTCAGATCAAACCAATGGCAAATTAAGATGTAGCCTAATGCTCTATTGAGAGATGTTCTGAGGGACAGAGGACATGGATAATGAACCTCTGCCCATCCTGGAGGTGGTTGCTAACCTGGAGATAGCATCAGAGAGATAATTTTGCTATTTGTCAGAAATCTTTCCAAGTACCTGACAGAAAGAATAGTTATTTTAAGCTACACTAACCCTATGATTAGTACCCTCTAAACACTCTATGGTTCTGGACCTAGTTCAAAGCTAGCTGCATGCTGAATAGACCAGTGGCTACCAATATCAGGTTAGTACAAATAAAAGCCACATGTTGCATGGAAAAAAAGCTTGTTTAACGGGAACAAAGTCAACTATTAAAGAAACTGGAAAGCAAAGCTTCTCTCACACATGTTTTGGTAGGTGCAGGTTTGTGTGCATACTGACCTAGCGTTTCAACTATGCTAACCCAGTCTGAGTTGTAATACTAGAAAAGATCACAGCTTATATTTAAATGAAATAGAAGAGATGGTTCATTTATTTAATTTTCTTTAGTAACTAAATCCACACCATGTTTGAAATACTACATTAAGGTCTTTGGTGTCCCTCCACCCGGGCCCCTGCCAGGGTTTGTGTAATCCTGGCTTTCCAGGAACTTACTCTCCAGACCAGGCTGACCTCAAACTCCAACCTACCTGCTGAATGCCACCATGCCTGGCTATTTACTTATTTTGAGACAGGGTCTTTCTACATAGCTCTGGCTATCCTGGAAGTATGTATGTAGATCAGGATGCCTCCTGAGTGCTTGGAATTAAAAGAAGCACCATCATCCTGGCTCTTTGTAAGGGGTTGTGTGTGTATACAAAAGTATCACAAAAATAAAACACTCTACCACTGAGTTACATGTCTAGTCCTTTTTACAAATATTCTTTCATCTAGTCTTCATAACTCTATAATAGATATGATCACATCTTCCTTGTGCAGGCCTTGAACATCCTCGTCCCCAGGAATAATTACACTCTAAACACACAGATGTAATGCATTGGGAACAGGGTTAGTTTTGCCTTTTCATTGTTGACTATGGATATTTTGAATGTAGGTTAGAACTTGTCTGCAAAGATAAACTTTTTTTTTTTTCACCCAACTGATACCATCCAAAAAACCTTTATTACAAAATAAAGTTACTGTAGCAATCAGATCCTAGTTTCCAAAATAAAGCCCCCCAAATTCAAGTTCCTTATCACTTAGTACTAAAGCTTTAGTAGTTACTAAGAATCTTTGTCCTATTAGGTTGAATTCTGTTTCTGATTTAAATTTGTTCAGCAGGTCACTTGAAATCTTAGGCTATTAAGGGTAAGAATCATGTAAATCTGTCTTCTAATTTTATCAAATAGAAACTAGCTTCTTATGTAGTAGTTGTGAAGTAAAGCCAAGAAAAATGAGGTCAAACACTTTTATTCCCAATTTGCTTTCAATACTTTGGATATAAGAAAATGTATTACAAAATAAACATTCTGTGGTCTTATTAAACTGTCTTCAACATTAGGCTATGTTATAAAAACATTTTTAGCAGAGTATAAAAAAATGAGTATCTGAGTTTAAAGAGACAACCACATTTTAAAGTAGGACTATAAAAACACATCCAAAATCAGTCTAATTTTCAAAGAAACTACAGCTGATATATTCATATATCCAAATGTTTAATGAACTTAGATAATTATCAGTTACAAATAGCCAGAAGAACTAATTTCGCTTAGATAAATGGGAATCTGTTGTTCTTATCCTGTCACTGTTGGCAGACACTGCCATCTGGTGGTCATTTCTCGATGAAGAGGATCTTCTACTAGAGGTCTGCTCAGGGAAGCTGAAAGACACTCACTCATCTCCATCTTACTGAATTAGAATGTGCTTGAGAAATGAACCATAACAAAGCATTATTTCCTTTCCTGTACTAGATACTTGTTAATTCTGAGGTAAGAACACATTCTGGAGTCATGCATACACTCTTCACTCTCTGATTTCACTCTCCCACCTCCATTAGCCACACTTCTGCTCAAACCTGGGGAAAAATCCTGGTAGGACTGTAAAATTTCTTTCCTCATGACCAACAGCCAATAAGATCAGCAACAACGAGACTGAAGGCTGCCTAACTACCCATTACTGATTTATTTCTACTACAGAAGTCTAAAGAAACAAAAGGCAATCAGTTTTACTCCAGAGGCCAAATAATTGTGTACTGTCTGATGCAATCCTAAAACCAACTCACCGCTGTAGTAAAAACCCAACAGTGAGCGACTGAAGGAGAAAGGGAGAGAGAACTACGGATTGCATTAAATTGTTCTATTATTTATTACATATAAAGCCAGGATCTGAGGCAAGTCATCTATCTACCTGTTTAAGGCAGAGCCTAAACATCACAATAAAGTAAAAAGTATGTCAATGTTTTGCAATTACTGTTAATGAAGATTTTTTTTTCACAAAACTTATTTTAGATCTAAATCAGTTATTGGAAAAACATAAAAAAACCAGAGTGCTTAGCAGAATTACTATTAATTAGTCTTTGGAAACCATGAGTCTAAAGAGGGTTTATTTCCATAAATACCGGCTTGGCTCAAAAAAAGACCAATATACTGGCTAAAAATAGAATTATAGTATCTAAAAAAAATTAACATAACAGAAATTTATTAGTCTCCCCAAAAGCTGGCTGCTTCCAAACTTGATTTAATATTCTGCATGTTTTCCCTTCGCTGCTTGGTAAAGACATTGGCTTCTCCTTTCTGCAGCCGGCGTCTGGCAGCCGCCTTCTGCTGCCTCGTCAGCTGACGCTTAACCTTCTGCTTCACCAGTTCCTGAAAAGATTTTTAAAATTAGTATCATTACTAACCATCTTGATAAGGAACAGAGATCATTAAAACAAAGATTTACACTGCTAGTATCTTTCAAATTTCTATGTTGAAGATGAATTTTTAAAATACTAATGACACTATATGAACTAGTACATAAACCAGGAGAAGCCGCTGTAAAATTTATAAATTTATATTCTTTGCAGAAATACAGATCATGTAGCAAAAGTGGTCAGCTGAAATTACAAACCAGAGTGCCACCTAGTGACCATCATGAACACTGAGGGGGAAAAACCAAGATGAAAAGTTCTTTCATGGTAAAGGATATAATTTTTTTTTTTTTTCGAGACAGGGTTTCTCTGTGTAGCCCTGGCTGTCCTGGAACTCACTCTGTAGACCAGGCTGGCCTCGAACTCAGAAATCCGCCTGCCTCTGCCTCCCAAGGCGTGTGCCACCACTGCCCGGCTAGGACATGATTTTGTAATTAGTTATTTCTTGTTCATTCGATTGATTGATCAATCGATCATTCATTCATTCATTCATTCATTCATTCATTCATTCATTCATTCATTCATTCATTCATTCGGTAAACTCTCATGTGGCCTGGGTGCCCAGGCTAGCCTTTAACTGGAATGTAGTCAGTTAACCTCGATCTTCTAGTTCCTGCCTTCCCTTCCAAAGGCTGGAATTACGTAACAGCACCTTGTTTGTGGTGCTTGGGATAGAAAAGAGGACTGAGGGTGGCAGTCACTCATGGGAAGACTTCACAGGGTTTTTTAGAGATGCAGAACAATGTTTCATAGTTAACAACCACAAATGTCATACGTACAAATCACATGACTGAAAAGTTTAAAAACTTTTTTTTTTTAAAATTCAGTTCATAATAACCTTTTGTTTCTCTATAGCCAAATTCCTAACAATGCACAAATCCTACAAGATAATTTTTTTTTTGGTGTGTAAGAAAAACCTGGGTTAAAACATGAAGTAAAATATTATGTGTTATTTTAGCAAGAACATAAAAATGAGTGAAAATCATTATTTGTTGTTAAAAGTAAAAACATTCTCCCATTAGATCTAGCCACATGTATTTATTAAAAGGCAACCATTAATTAGTCCTGTTATGTTTTCAAGAACAGAATTTATAAATTACTATTGTGTTAAAAGTTTATGTTTAGCATAATAGCCAATACATAGAAATAATAAAGGAATTAAAGAGGAGACAGATTTTATGATTATAATTTCAAGGAATTTAAGCCCTTTTGTCTTTGTACAAATTCCAAAACAATCACCACCAAGTCCATTGAGGTAACAAACAGTTCTCTCCTCTCATGTTGACAAAATAGAAAAGAAAGAGTATGAGAAAAATATCAAGAGAAGTTGGTGTACAGCTTGCAGTCCTAGCAGTTGAGAGGAAGAGGAGTGAGGAGCAAGAGTGAATGAAAGGGAGGCGAGCTAGGAAGGATCAGGGGTGAAGGAAAACTGTGATCAGAATGTATTGTATGAAAAAAGTTATTTTCAATTAAAAAAGTTCAAGGCCAGTCTTGTCTGGACAGGAATCTTTTTGTTCATGGACTTAGGCTGATGGCCTTATTCCCTCCTTAGGATACAGGCTCATATACTACAATTCACAAAGCTCAAGACAAAAACTTGAAGACTGAAACCACAACACACTTCTAAGATCAGCCTCTGCCTGGTAAAGAGTAAAGTGCTAAAATAACACACAATATTAACTCCTATTTAAATAGGCACAGCCAATTGTATCTGAGCCATACACAGAGAAGGCAGCACAAGTTAGAATCTGATACAAATTTTGTTTTGATACTGCGAAATTAAAGAAAGGGGGTCAAATAAATCCCAGTAAGAACAGAGAGTATAAAAGTGAAAAGCAAAAGGGTTATTATAAGCTGTGAGATATCTATAATGAAGACTTTTATCTTTTAACATAATATATGCTTCACAGATTTCAATTTTATATTTAGAAAAATCAAGTAAATTATCCAACCCTTAGAAAGAAAATGTGAAAGCAATTATGTTTTGAGAATTTCACCGTTACTGGTCTGGCAAATCCTAAATTTCTGAAAAGCCTCAGAACTGTAATATAAACTACCATTAACTATTTTTTACTTTATTCTTTGTGTGCAAACACGTGTGTACATGTGTGTACTGAAGCCAGAGGTTAACGTATGTTGTCTTCCTCTACCACTCCCCATCTTGTTTGTTTTGAGACAGGGTCTCTCACTGAACCTGGAGCTCACTGATTTGACTACCTGGTCAGCAAGCTCCCAGAGCTCTCTGGTCTCCACTTGTTTGAATGAATTACAGACATACCTCCCCGGCCCCCCCCCCCTTCTGGCTTTTTACGTGTGCACTGGGGATACAATCTCATTCTGAATAGTTCTCATTTAATATTACAGAATTTCATTCTACCCAAAACAAAACATTCTAACTCACTAATGACATCTGCATTTTAATAAGCTTAGAAAAAATGAAGTCATTTATCTTTTGAGTTTATTTTGTATACAGCCATTTCACTTTCTCATTTCTTCCCTTCTTTGTTCACTATGAGAAAATTATCTCAAAAAACTAGCTTTAATAACACAGTTTTACTTAAACACAAGAAATCAACACAACAAAATTGGCTTTAATGTACGGAAAATTTGATATATTTCTATTTTGATGCATGGTTATTGCCAAGTTTACTTTCTTAATGTTAGACAAAAAAAAAATTGTAGGAAGCACAATTAAACAGTAGTCTTCAAAACACTGCATAATCCTAAAGTGACGTAGGTGAGTGGGTTGTAACCTTTCATAATGGCTTCTGTTGACTGCCAAAGAATCAGGAAACTAAGCAAACCTAACATACTAACATAATTTTGCTTGATTCCTGAGAGAAATAATGACTTGTAAATTCCTGCTCTTTCCAAATGTCAGATATGAATGAGACCTATCTATCTCTATAATCCAAATGTACATGGGAGTTTGAGAAACACTCCTCCACAGGCCACAAAGAGGGGTTTGCTTTGTGGGGGTGTGATAATCTCTACACTGATTCTTCCTTTTGGGTAGGTCAGAACAAAGGCTGGCTTACATGCCAGAACCTCAGTTGGGGCTAGAATATTTTTGCTCACTGTCCTGTCTAGAAAATATTCCTTTGTAAACTGGATACAAATGCTAAATGCCCAAGGGACCAACAAAAATTTGATAGTAGTGAGGGTGACATACCTCTATATTTCAGCCATATTGCTACATTTGTGCAAAGTCATATAACCTTCCTTGTTAAAAATCAAAGACTGAATCACATGGGAAACTAAAGAATCTCATCTGGATGCAAAATACATTAGTATTTCATCTCTAAAATTCAAATTAATTTATATGCTGCCTTATTCCTAGAAGCTCTGCTTATTCCAGCTGAACCCTCTTGTCTCTAAAACTTCTAGGTGTTGATCATTTTATAACATTAACATATGAGACCCAACTATCTAAATGACCTGAAGTCTTCACAGTACCCGAGGCCACCTTGTGTCCACAGCTCTGGCCCTACCAGCTGGCACATGTGTAATACTTACTGGAGGGATTGTTGAACAGCTCAGGGCACTGCCTGCAGATGTAACACTCAACGTTCTTGTTCTACGCTGAGTAACACTACTCATACTGTCTTCATCTCTAGAATAAATAAAATTTAAGAAACAAGTTATCTAGTTAATTTTTATAATGTAAAATTAATGTGTATTTTTTGCAGTAAAGCAAAGATGAAATGCCTCAGAATTGTATTTATGAAAACCAAAGTGAAACTACCTCCAACTTAGTCTACTAAATTTTAACATTCATAGAATGTTCTGATCAATGTCACCATCAAACTTTCCAAACAGAATGTTTTGTAACTGAAATGTATCCATTTAATTTGTGCTTTTCACTAAATCATAAAAATCTATTTCTTACACTCTTTATATCTTTCTTGCCACCTTCTGAACAAAAGCAGACATAGTACAGATATAATACTCTCATTCTTTTTCTGAGACAAGGTCTCATTATATCCAAGATTGATCCTCCTACCTTAGGCCTCTAGCCCCCAGTGCTAGTGCAAGGATTTCCAGTATATACCACCATGCCCAGTCAGAGACAGTTCTCTGAAACTGCTCTGTTAGTCAGAATAAATACTATCATCACGGATACGATATTTAAGTGCTCAATATTTTAATAGAAACATGTATATAAACCTAGAAAACATTAACTTTTTATAGCCAGTATTTTTCTAAAACATGTTTTTTAAAAACTATTATTTATCTTTCTGTGTAGATGGCACATGCCACAACGTGGATGTGGAGATCAGAGAATGATTTGCAAGAGTCAGTTCTTTTCTTCCACCATGTGGGTCCTGGGACTTGAACTTGGGTCAAGCTTGGTAGCAAGTGACTGCAAAGATAAAGGTGTCTTTAAGATGCATAGATATAACTGGTTTGGAAGAGGATTTGGTAATTTTGGAGCTGGCCCTAGTTATGAAAATGAACCGAGCTGGGCAGTGGTAGCACACGCCTTTAATCCCAGCACTTGGGAGGCAGAGGCAGGCGAATTTCTGAGTTCGAGGCCAGCCTGGTCTACAGAGTGAGTTCCAGGACAGCTAGGGCTACACAGAGAAACCCTGTCTCGAAAAAAAAAGAAAAAAGAAAAAAAAAAAGAAAAAAAGAAAAAAAAGAAAATGAACCGAATATAGCAACCAGAGCAGAGAATTGGTTATGGCAACTATGGAGGAAGTAACTATGGGATCTGAACACTATAATCAGCGACACTGGAAAGATGGTCCAGTGAACATTGGAAAATTTAGTGGTAGCAGGAACACGAGGTGATCACAAGGTGTAGGAAATAGGTACTGCAGGTAGTCGAGGAAATGGCGGATATGAAGAGAAGGGCTAACACAGAGCTTCTTACTTGCCATGGGCTCCACTGCGCACTCAGAATAGGATGAGAACCCAGAGGAACAAAACAACTTCTGGTTATTGAAAAAACAATGGTAAGGAAATTTCTATCTCCATCATACATAAATCTGCAGTGATAAGGCACAGGACAGTAGAGCGGACACAGAGAGCCAGGTTCTCAGCTTCTTAACTATCTTTTTAGTGGCTTTTGAGAGAGCGTAGAAAGAAGCATTCCTTCTTTGGTAACGTTAAGGTTATAGATGTCAGGTGATGTGAAACTTTACAAAAAATGTTTCTCAAGGTTTTGAAAAGTAAGAGTTGGGATCTTGATATAAGGAGACAAAGATTTTCTTTTCTTAAAAATTAGTTAAGCCATTATACACTTAAAATTTAATAAAGTAATTCAAAAGGAATAAGGGATGCATCCCTGAACATGCACTGGAAAATGCTTAACAATACTCTGCTGACCTAGTTTTGTTGTATCAATGTTTTGAAATAAATAAAATACCTACTGCAATAAACTGTTGTTTGTTCCTGGATAAACTATTCCAAACCTAAAAATTATGTTTTAGTTTGTTTGCTAATTTGAGCTTAACATTTTCAAGACAACAAACAAACAAACAAAGTTAAAACATAATACTACTAGGTGGGTTTACGTGCACATGAGAAAATAAACAAAATGATAGAAGCCCCAAAGCTTCAGGAAACATGCTCTGTAGATAATTAACATAGAAATAACATTTACTGCATGCCTTACATACTTACACGCCTCTTCATAGTTTAAACATACAATAAATGTATCAATGAAACAGAATAATTTACCCTGTCTAAAAACAGACCTATTTATTAAGAAACCTGTATTAATTCAATGAGTCTTAGTTCAAGGTAGCATTCTGTGAAATTTAGTCAATAGAGTATTGGGAATCAGATTAGCTGAAAAGACAAATTTGTTTCAATATGATAAAGTTAACTTTCATTTTTACACAATTATGGCAGGACGCAATGCCACAGTATTTTTTTTTTCTTCTTCAATATCTTCCCTTGACAGAATCAAAGATCTCAAGATTAAAGGTAAAAAGCAAACAAAATTCTATACCTGAAAGGCCTGAACTCCTTGTTCAATGATGACAGGGCAATCAGATGGGGGAGTTCATCGTCACACTCCTCAGAGCCAGCAGGGCTTCTCTGACCTGGCTGGCTATCTTCCCTGGTATCATTTTCAGTTCTATTGCTCTCCTCAGAAAACTCAGTAACAGACCTGTGGGTAGGAACCTGCCTTTCCATTTCTTCTACAGCTTGACTTAATTTAGTCACTTCAAAACTGGACACATCAGCACTCTCCTCTGGTAAACTGTCTCCCTTTATTTGTTTGCTGTCTGTAGATGAGCAGTAACAGGAGCTGCCTGATTCATTTACTGGGTTTGGTTCATTTTCCAATTCTGACTTCCAAACTTCGGCTTTTTCTAACATTTCTTCATCAGAAAACGAGAAGTCAGATTCTTCTTCTGTTTCGGTAATTTTATCATCTGGACCTACTGGATGTAGCAGTTCATCATCTGCTTGCATTTCCTTTGTGTAACCACTGGCAGAGACCTCCACATCAAGAGAATCTTCCCTCCTAGGAAACAAAGGTATCAGCATTAAATAACACAGAAAAAAGATATCCAAGATGAATAGCACCACTCTAATAAATGTGAAGTGAGTTCAGTCCACCTTCCATATTTTAATCTTCTACATGTTATTTAAATTACTTAACTATGCAAATATAAAAGATGGGATTTGAAGACTAAAATAAAAATAACACAATAATGATTCCTATTAGCTTAGTAAATTAACTTTCAAAAATGGCTAAAGATTGCTGTTTAAAGTATGCAGCAATAAAATTCAAAACAGGAATTATCTTAAAAGCATATATAAAACCAATAAAGATTAACTCAAAAAATATATATAATATAAATAAAAGAAAAACATAAGGCTGAAGACATGGCCTAGCATATGCTACTTTTCTAGTGGAGGAGGGGTTTTGTTCTTAGCACCTACTCTGGTTGGCTCATGACCACCAGCTCCATCGGACTGACTATCTCCAAGCCTCTGTTGGCACTCACACTTCTGTGTACTTATGCAGTGTGTTAGTTAGTGTTTTGTCAACTTAATGCAGGCTAGACTCATATGGGAAGAAGGAACCTCAATTGAGACAATGTCCCCACCACACTGGCCGATAAGCAAGCCTGCTGGCATTTTCTTGATTCATGATTGATGTGGGAGAGCCCAGCTCATTGTGGGTAGTGCCACCTCCTGGAAGGTTTAAGAATCTAAACTGAGAAAGCCATGAGAGAGCAAGCCAAGAAGCAGACCCCCTCCATGGCTTTCCCTTCAGTTTCTGCCTCCAGGTACCTGTCCTGAGTTCCTGACTAAGCTTCCCTGGATGAGGGTCTGTAACCTGTGAATCATATAAACCCTTCCCCACTAGCTGCTTTTGATCACAGAGTTTTATTACAACAATTGAAACCCTAATTAAGACACAGAGATACATGTAATAAAACAACACAAAAACTTAAAAAAAAAAAGAAAACTACCAATGTCACTAATATTTGATGCTTGATTTCTTAAAAATGGGTTATGAACATTTGATACCGCATTCAAAATAAGAAAATAAATTCAACATCCAAAAGTACAATTGCAGGGTCTAGAGAGATGGCTCAGTGGTTAAGAGCATTGGATGCTCTTCCAGAAGTACTCAGTTCATTCCCAGCAACCACACAGTGGCTCACAACCATCTATAATGGGATCTGATGCCTTCTTCCGGCATGCACCATATATACACAGAATACTCAGACATACGTTATCTGGACATTTGCTTTAGAGTTAAGCAAATAATCTATTTAAATAATCTATCATTATAAGCAGTACTACAAACCTGATATCACTGAAGGTTGGGTAGAGCTCACTTTCATAGCTAAAACGTTTCATGAAGAACTCTCGAATGCATTTAACATCTCTGTCAAAATACCTGTAAAAGTAAACATTCATTTTAAATTCTTTTCTATTTAGTGTTTATTTATCTACTTCTATACAGGACACATATTCTTTCCATATATGAACAAGCTTTGGTTTTAAAACCCAGACTTCTTAAAGAGCTGTTTGAATAAATGGCTCCTTGGCTAAGAAAGCTTGATTTGAGTGTTAAGTCCAAATTCTTTTAGTGATATCTACATTGCAGTTTATGTATAAATAAGATAGGTGGACAGTCAGTTCCAGAAAACGACTAGCATAATGATTAGGTTTAAAACTGGATCTAAGTATATTTTTTCTTTTAAAAATTCTTTTTTAAAGATTTTCTTACAGAGAAAATTCTAGTAGTTAGACATTCTTTAATTGAAAAACAAATCTCCATGACTGAAAACATTTACTGATCCAAATAGAAAACTGGAAAAACACAAATAAAAAGTGATTCTATGATATACAAACACATCTACAACTAGACTCAGTTTTAGCATATACCATTCAGCATTCGGGTGGGAAGTGGAAACCATCTGTGGAAAATCAATCATGGTGATGTGGTCATCTTTATCCAACATGAGATTGAATTCATTGAAATCTCCATGAATCAGACCATGATTTCCCAGTTTGACTATCAGTTCCATAGCTTCATCATACACTGATGCAGGGTCTTCAACATGATGTATCTGACACCTGAAAGTATGAATAGGTTATGTGGACATGGTCAGTATTTTAATGAGCGTGTCATTTCCATTCCCGATCTTGCCAGTTTCCTCCTTATTCTCATCACAGGTACATGTCCTAATTACTAAAAGGTCACACGCTGTTCCAATACTGTCTGCTTCCCACAACCATGTCCTTTCTCACATCTTCCTTACAGCTCACCCTTTTTTACCTAGGCTTTTCTAATTTCATTCCTTCTACTTTCAATGATCCACTTTTAACAGCCTTCCACCTTATTTAAACAAAACAGTTCAAGACTTAATTTCTTCTATGCTACTAAATCTAAATTCTTAGTCATTTCCATTTCTAGTCAGTTGACTTCTTTCTTCTCCTTGAAATTCTTTCTTCTGTGAATTATCAGGGACCACACCTTTCAGATTTTCTTTCCTTGCTGCCCATTACCGAGGCCAAAGTCCAAACTCAATCTACATTGTTCACAGCTCCCCTTCCTCTGGCCCCAGTCCACTTAAGTAACTCTGCTCTAAATACTGGTTTGTTCCATGGCTGTGAGCACCCAAGGATCAATACACTTCCTTTACCTGGAATATTGCCCTAGCTAGTTTCCTAAGATTTCACCTTGTGAATGGCACTTTCCCAACTATCTTATATTAAATAGGAATCTCCTACCTCTACCCTCTTTACTGACCTTTATCAATAGTACTTACTGATACACTAAATATGTATTGTTTAGTCTGAGGGCAGGAGGAACTTTTTTTTTTCACTGCTGGACTTGGAGGTGTTTGGTATGCAACACATTCTTCATAAATACCGAACAAATCAACGAACAAATGGCAGAGATTACAAACTGGATGAAATTGGTTTTCCAATGTTTTTTATACCTCTTTAGAAATTTCTAACCTTTAAGAAGCAGCATTCCAATTGAATGTTGTACTTAAAAAACATGGATCTTAAATTCATTTACTAGGACCTATGCTTTCAAGCTTAATGAATACTTACAGGGGATAACCATTAATAAGCTCCATAATCACTGCATGGCGATTGTAATCAATTGGCTTTGGAACTGGAAATTTCCTCTCATATAACGCCTAAAACAGAAAAATATGAGAAGCTAATAAAATCATGTTTTTAAAAGAACAAAAGAATGTATCTTCCTAAAACAAGGCTTTACAAAATTTAGTCTACCTTAGGGTATTTAATGCATGGTTTACTTACTATAAGAATTAGCTATACATAAAGATAATTTAAGTTTCTTTGAATTAACTTTATTCCTTAAAATATACAACTACCATGTATTATGTACATCAAGTCACAAAAATGAATGCAAAAAAGAAAATCTTATAGTCCCTTAGGATATTTCCTTTCTATATTTTTAAGTCTGTCACTTGTTGATATGTGCTTACAATAGTGTAATAACAACAAATTTTGGTTTACGTTTCCTGGCATAAGAAGTAAGTTATCTTGAAGGTCAGGCACTTTAGTATGTAAATCACTAATGCTGTTCTTCATATTACATTGTATGATGCATGTGACAGTCTAAGCCAGACGGACCAATATCAGACCAGATGCTGTCTACGTCAATTCATAATTTAAAAGTATCTACAATGGATGCAGATATTTTATTTCAGTCTGGGTTACTTTTGTATTTTTGTGGACCAGTTTTCAAAATTCTCTTTAATTCAACTGTCTAGTACAGTTGAATCAGTAAGTACCAAAAGTACAGCCAGGACAGCTACTTTAGTACTACCTATACACACATATAGGGCTCACATCCATTCAGGTCTTGGTCAGTATTTATCTTCTGCAAAGTCCTTTTCTTAAAGTCAAATCATATCCATCTTTATGAATCCACTAAACTCCCATTCAGTTCATACTATCGTCTTCTTTAGTTTAACCTTAACCTATAAACTGTTCTTTGTGTCTGTTATCTTCCTCACTTTACAGTGGTCTAGACTGGCTAGTGCTTTGCTATTCATTCCTTTACCTTGCATTACCACAGTACTTAATTTTAAAAGCTTTCTACCTAACCACCACCTTCTGAAGACAGGAATTGAAATATTTTCTACTTCCTAGAAATTTTTGTTTATTTTTAAAGAGTTGTGCATCGACATGTCTCAGCAGTAGAACAGTATAATATAATCTTAAAAGACTATAAATGGTTGTCTCCAACAGTGATTTTTAACCTGTGGGTGGCAATTTCTTTAGAGGTCAAATGGGCCTTTTACAGGAGTTGTCTAAGATCACTGAAAAACAGATATTTACATTTACAGTAAAAAAATTACTATGAAGTTATAAAGAAGCAACAAAAATAATTTAATGGTTGGGGGGGGGTCACCAAAACATGAGAAATTGTATTAAAGGGTTTCAGGTTAAGAAGATTGAGAACCACTGGTTTAGACTTTATGTGATAGTGCAACTTTCAAATCACAGCTTAATCTTTATATTACTCTTTTCGTCTTGGGAAAACATCAGTGCATTTAAGGAAAGTACTTATTTGCAAACAGATTCTCTCTGTACCTTCAACTGGATCACTTAAAAATAACCCACTACAGTTTGGAGGGAACATCTAATGATTTATGCCAAGATGTTTCCTTTTAGTATAAAAGAAAATAATATATATCAGAATTACTTACTTATACTGCTTTAAGAAACTTCCTACGAGTAACAATTTAAGGACCAGATTAAATAAACTATTCACTCAAACTAAAACCCATGATGGTCCAATGGGTAAAGGCACCTAATGACCTGTATTCCATCCCAGAAGCCCCCAGTGGAAGGAGATAAGTGAACCCTCCAAGTTGTTTACACACCACACACACTAAAAATAATAAAGTAAATTCTTACACAATGAAGTACAGTTAACAAATACTACTATACATAACTATGCTATTTTGTTAAATTTAGTTGGGAAACACCAAGATTTCCAGATACTATTTTCAATAAAAAGATATTCAGAGTCACACATAAATTTGCATAATAATAAATGTCTTTATTAAGAGGAAGCCACTGGGAAAAGAGTATAATCAAAAAGTTCAAGTTGATTGTAGGGACTGAGTTTAGGGTCAGAGAGATACTTGTCATTAAGATTTTTGCAATGTTTGGCTAAAACTGACTATCTTTTTCTTTTTTTGAGAAACGTAAAATCATTAAAAAATACCTTCATATAGGCAAACTCCTTCATGGCAGAGAGACGAGATAAATAAAGCCAAGAAACATTATGCCTGTGCTTATGGTAATCACGTTTGTTTTTCAGATTTCGAAAGGAGGTTCTTCCCAGTCTGTGAAGCTTCAGTGCAAATTGCTGCCCTTCTTCATTTGCAACAATGTAAATATCTAGAGCAAAAATTGTAAAAGCATTCTTAGAATACTTTTGCTACAATTGGTTAAATAGTTCTAACTTCATCTGTATCTAGTATCTTTGTTACTGGTAGTTACTCTCTGGCAAAACACTTCATATCCTAAATAATCCATAATCCAGAATTTGTTCATTTTGTAATTGTCAAAAAAAGCAGAGAGGTACTTAGCCAATGGGTACTTCTGCTTTCAAAGATGCTCATTGTTTACATTTATCAATATGTCAAACTAAGCATTAATTCATTGAGAAAGGATTTCTAGCTAAAAAAGTGACTTACCCTGAATATTTTCTGTGCTAGGGATCTAACACAGGCCTTGTATATAGCAGGTTACTGCTCTATCATGAGATTACATCCTCAGTCTATGAGAAGCTAATTTAATACCTTCTATTTCAACACGTTCAATTCAACTGCTTTTATGACCAATGCATTAGAATATAACCCTGTAAGTAAATCTCTTTAATAAGTAGTTTGCCAACTATCAAAGTAAGTTATTTGTAATGCTGACATTTAGAACACATTCTAAGTATTTTAAGAAATTTTAATTGTATTTCTATTAAAAATAGGCTATCATATCTTACTAACAGAATATATATCATAAATCAGAACACATTTTAAAACTTGGAAATATCAAAATTTATATATTTTTACTATTATTGAATGAATTGTGTTCAAAAATTCCCACACTGAAGCACTAAATTTTAATGTATATATCTAAAGATAGGGACTTCCATTACTATTCACAATGAAGAATGAATGAAACCTAAATCATTACTGCTCAGAAACTGGTAAAAAAAATCAACTGAAAAGTACCCACCCACCGAAACACTGTGCAATTATGAAACAGACAGCCACTGAGCAGGTATCAGCAAGTGTGAAAAGACAAAAATTAAAGTATAAAATCCCAAGTAATACTTACTTTCACTCTTGGTTACAATCACATGAACACAAAAATAATCCTGAATACATGCAACTATAGTTGTATGTATACAGAAAATTTCTCAGATTAAATAAATAATCTTAGCTATGGGATCTAATCAACAACAAAAAAAATTTAATGCAGATTTAAAATAACACTCATTTTATTGTACTTTCTATTATCATTTTACCATTTAACTAATTTCTTAAAAATTAAAGAATACTTTAAATAGAATCTGTTTCCTAAGGACTTGGTTTTCATATAATTGAGGTATTTACAATAGTTAATTCATAATTTTAAATTCAAATGACTGAATGGACAAAAGCAATTAACAGGAAAGTTAGATTCTCTAAAGGAAATATTCTACAATGGTTATACACTCATATTCATTTTCATGTGCACACACTCTCCCGGACTCTAACTGCTGAGCATGATGCATACCATAACTTAGATATAAACATAGAAGGCACTCAAACCATATCAAAGTCCACAGGGAACTTTTGGGGGCAGTTTTGACAATGATCTTATTTCCAAGTTTAATCATGCTTCCTTAGTTTAGACAATGTCAATTAGATAGGAAAAATTGCACAGGACAAAAACTGTATAAAGGAAGCTACGGTTCAAAAAGAATCATCTATTCCAGGTGACAATTTGAAAAAGAATCATCTCCTATTTCTTATTCCTTTCTTCCTTTTTTAAATTATATTTTTTAAATGCTATTAGCTGTGTTGCTGTGATAGAAAAACGTGCCTGTGGTACTGTTATTTACCATCTCCTTTTGGTAGTTTTTAATTACTACAAATGCATAACTTATCACATATAAAATAGAGAACAAATATAATATTCACCAAAGATTTAAATATCAGAAGAAAATTAGGGCCCAAAGTGTAGCTGAGTGGTAAAGCATATGCTACTATGTCTGAACCCTGAGTTAATCCAGAGCACCAAAGTGGAAGAAAAACAAACAACAAAAAACAAACAAAACAACCCCCCCAACAAACAAACAAACAAAAAACAAAGCCACAGATGGAAATCATTTTTTGGTATTACTAAAATGATAGTGATGGACTTATGGAAGTTAATTATAACTTACTAAATTACTCTTAATAAATATAGCAAACTATGTTCCTAATCTGTATTGCTTATAGCCAAGTTTCTGACTTCCCATTTTTGTTGGACTATGAAACAAAATGAAAGAGAAATCCTTTCTCAAAAGTAAAATAAAAACTTACGTAAAGACAATGCTTTCAACAATATTCTTAGTACGTACCTGACTCTTTGCCAACACCCATCTGGTTTCCAACAGACTCAACTACCTGTCTAGAAGACAGTGTTTTCAGAGCTAGGTAATCATAGCCAGCATTTGTCAGCCGATAGCCCTGGACAGCTAGACAAAATTAGGTAAGAGTATTTGTTATACGGTAGCAACAAGACATATTAATACAAGGTAAGCATTTAAAGTTGGGAAGTATTAGCTAGAGAAACTGATTTACCTAGACTTGTAAATTTGCAGTTTCTTCTCTATTACAGTGTCATTCATGTATGGATACTGGTTTGAGGGTCTGTGACAAGATATGCACTTAAACTAAAAGTATTGAAGTTCAAAATATTTTATATTGAACTGACAATGAATTTATGCCTGTTTTTGTATATAACCATTATCCCTTTACTTTTTCCAGTAACTACTTTATCTTATATTTATAAAAGATCTGAGACAGGTTTTCAAACCTTCAATCCTCATCACAGATGGCTTGAGAAGCAACACTCAAGAGTCCTGTGACAGGCTGAATTTTCCAAAGGTGGTGCTAACTGTATGACTATCTGATTTGTTCTGCAGCACACTCTTGACACTTTTGCTGCCCTTTTTGATTTGAGTAGACTCTGTGATTGTTTTGACCAATTTCAATGGCAGAAGAATGTGTCAGTTCTTGGCTGCCTAGTCAAGCAGCTCTTTGAAGGTCAGCTCTACAGAAAGCCAATTAGCTGAAGATTGATAAATGCTACATAAAATACTTACTTTTAGTACGTTCCCATGCTATAAGTTTATGTTTCACCAATTCTCTTAAAATTTTATTACAGCCACCGTGTTTCAGGCTGGCTATAGAAGCAATCAAACTGCAGGGAACGATCTCATGGTTTTTCATGCCCATTTCAACCTGAAATTAAAGGAATCATTATGATGTGTAGGTAACACAAAGCCTTGTCTATTAAAATCTTGCTAAGAAATTAGGCTCTTGAAACGCTCCTAACTAAGTGGATCTCTGGCCACAGCTGTGTAGCCTAATAGGCATAGATCGTGAGAAATGTACTGTGAAGCAAGTGTGGGGTACACAGTACTAATGGATACTTAGCATAGCTATTTTGTCACTAGACAGCATGATCTTAGGGGGTTATTGCTGAACACATGTCCTGTGGCAAAAGAAAAAGGTTAAGGTAACATATGACTATAATTCTACAATACAGTCATTTTTGTCTAGACCATGTTAAATTCATTCTTGATAAATACACTTAATGGTGATACTGCCTCTCAACTTCCAGAGTAAAAACTCAGTTCTTGAAAAATTAATGACACACGGCTGATATTAAAATGCTTAACACCTAAACACCTGTCTTAACTATCTACAGATATTCTAGATATCAAGCATCAATAAGAAAGCACAGTATGTAGGCATGAATTTTGCTAACTACTGGGGAGAATTTTTATCCCTGGAGAATCAGAAGTAGCAGCTCAGGACAGAACAAGAATTCTAGCTGAGAGATCACTTTCAAGAAAGGAGGGATATCTGAGAATGAGTACAGGGAAAGGACACTTGGGAGGCAGAGGCAGGCAGATTTCTGAGTTTGAGGCCAGCCTGGTCTACAGAGTGAGTTCCAGGACAGCCAGGGCTACACAGAGAAACCCTGTCTTGAAAAACCAAAACAAAAAAGAAAAAAAAAAAAAAAAAAAAAAGAAATGGTATCTACCTAACAGAAGGGACAACTGACATAGAAGTAGTTAACAAGTTACGGCATGTAGAGTCCAGGTAATTAAGGCCAGAAAACACTTTAGCCTAAGAAACAAAAGGGGAAGAGTTTTATACCAAGAAGACAGGGAAACTCTTAAAGATGCACTGGTAAAAGAGATCTGGAAAGAGAGACAGGCATAGTGACACACATCTTTAATCACAGCACTCTGGAGGCGGAGACAGGCAGATCTCTGAGTTCAAGGCCAGCCTGATCTACAGAGAGAGTTCCAGAACAGTCAGAGCTATAGAAAAGAAACAAACAGGGGAGGAGGGTGGGGGGGAGGAGAGGGGGAGCGGGGGGAGGGGAGAGAGAGAGAGACAGAGACAGACAGAGAGAGAGAGACAGACAAACATAAATTATATTTAGGACATTAATCTAGTAGGAATATATAAAAATAAAATTGACAAAAACTGGAAGGAATGTAGTGGAGAATTAATATGGCACTCTAGCTGTGTTATGAAAACAGTAAGCAGCAAGGGCCAGCTGGTGGTGGTAATGATAGAAGATTAAAGATTTTCACCCCTTCATATATGAAATGTTTTCCATGTGTGTGCATTGTGTGGAGGCCTGAAGTTCATGTCAGGGGTTTTCCTAGACTGTTCCCCATTGAATTAAAGTTCTTTAGGAAGTAGTATGGGAGAGTCAGACAACAATGTATGGGAGGGTAAAAGGAATGAAGAGTCAAAATTTTGAAGTGAAGAAAAAGGTTTATTAAAAATATAAACAAGATAGGGATGTGAAAAACTGTCAGGGGAAGAGTTTACATTAAATGTGTAGTAAGTAAAAAAAAAAAAAAAAGATAACTGATTAGAGGTAAAGTTCACAGAAAGAAGGATTGGCACGGGAGGACAACAGTGGTAGGCAGCATCCATCTGAGCCTAGAGTGTTAAGTTCAGCGACTAAGTGATTCTTTAGGGAGCTTAAAAACTCTGGAAGAAAAATCTTTTACTATGGTGTCCCACCATAACTGAGCATTTAACTGAGTTTTAACTCATTTTTATGTTCTGTTCCTGCTTCCCCAATCCTCCAATACATTTCTTGACTACCCTATGTATGTCAAGATGCTGAGAAATGAGTGAGTGTGCTGAGAAGGAAAGCCATTATTTAAAAATACTATTTAAAGAAAAAGCCCAGGTTACTTAAGGAAGCTCTAAGAAAAAGGAAGTGCATGCTAAAGTTCATACGGACCTTGCATTTGATTAATTTGTAAATGATACCTACTTAATTTGGCTACAAAGACTTAAAATAATACACTAACCAGACAATTCACATTACACATCCTATTATGTAACACAGTCCTTCTTTTTACCAAACTCCTAAATAAAGACTGATTTATTCTAATCTTAGATATATGGCCTGATCTATGCCACGACACTAAAACTACACAATCAGATCTTGTTGTTTTCTTAATTAAAACATTCACGGGCTTCCATACAAATCGATTACTAGGCTTGCAAGGGTTTATACGGTTTGGTTATCAGATTTTCAACGTACGTTCCCCCAACGACACTGGCCTTTCTTTTCTATGAAGACTTTCCCTCCCATCTCTCGGTTTTTGCTCTTATTTGCCTCCAACTCTCTCCAAAAAACACACCTCTTCTACGGTAGGTAATATTCCCTTGGTTCGGGGTTGGGAACACACTTCGTAGTTTGATAAATAGTAAAGACAAGATTCTTGGATTCAATCAAAACTCAAAGACAGTACTCTTCCCTCACATTCCAACACATGGATACTTTCTACTTTTTTTTTATCCTTTGTTACCTTCACGGTACTTATTACTTGACAATTACATTGTTAATATATTTAGTGAATTGCTTGTCGACAAAGTGGCATCTCCTTTCCTCCTTTGTTTTGCACTTGGCTGAACAGCCTAAATTTGTCAGCTGACAAATGTGTTTTTTTAACATTACGCGGCTGAGTCTATTACTGGGGGCCCAACAAGCTTCCTTCGAGGACTTAACCCCCCAACTTTCTCTAGTTTGGAAGCCAAAGATTAATGAAATTTCCCGGGCCACAGACACGCAAGTATGCCTGGAACAAAAGAAGTTGAAAAGAAGAAACATGTTTAGGAAAAGAGAATTCTTTTTCCGCAATTTTTTATGGAAGTCAGACCTTGGTGCTCTTCAACCAGATCTCAGCCTCGGCAAACAAGCCACAGACCAGAGCCCACACTTAGCTCCCAGCGACCTTAGAATAGCAGGAAGGGGACGTCACCGAATGGATAAGCAAGAAAGGTGTATTCCTTACCGCAGTCAGAACTCTGAAGTCATCGCGGCTCATGTACCTTAGCTTAGCCACATTTACCTTCCCCATGCTTGCTCAGTTCCAACACGGACGCTCCCTGGGAGGACGCAAAGTCGCTGGGTAATCTCGCACACTTTCCGAGGCGGCCTGCCCGCGCACGCGCTCTGTATTTAAGGTGCTTATCGCTAGGTAAGAACACGTGATCGACTGGCACTGGAAAATGCTATATTTTCTGATCTTAATAGGTAAAAGTCAGGCAGAAGTGATTTTCCAGCCGTTAAATAACTATTTTTACATGTGACTGACTTGGCAAGTTGCAAATGTTTTACGTAATGTGCCACGTTAGTTTTCAGAGCTGCTAGGACCTGATCCGAAATAAGGCCGGGCTTCCGCTTGTATCAGTGCTTACGTCACGAGAGGGGCGTGTTTTATCCGTTCCGGGCTGCCTCTACTCTTAGTGCAGCTTCTGTGTACTGTGAAGTCAGGGAGGACAATGAACAAGGGAGACCTTAGGTCAGCAAAGCCACTGGAAGGATGGCCTTAGAGCGCCATGCACGGTCTCTCGGAGGAGGACCGGGTTAGGGGCTGACCCGCGGGCCTGGGAGGTTGATCCTAGGACCGAGTAGGCGGAGCTGCTGTCTTGTACTGTCCAGTGCCGGCTTCCAAAGAAGGCGCGCGTTTCGATATATCTGGGGTCTAAGAGCATTTGGGAGGCTTTATGGGAGTTTTCCATACTGGACCTACAGATCTTCGCAATACGTACTCACAGATAACGAAGAGAATGTACCCAAGACAAAGACGTTTATACCGTACCTTCATCACGACAGCAGCAGCATAGTAACAACAATGTGACTCATGTGACAAGTATCTGTGTCTCTCATTTCACGAATTATTTATATTTCAGCCCTTTAAGCTGCAGATCTTCCCTGGTTTGCTCTTAGGTTAAGCTTGGGTTCAATATATTAGTGTCCAATATTATCTACTTTATCCTTGAGAGATTGGCAACAATTAGTGTATTATTATTAATATTTGAGATACTATGTGCAAACTTTAACGTTACGGAATGGGATTAAGATACATTCGCGATCTTTCCATCCTCCACTCCTTCCGATCTCCAAGAAATAATGTATTCATTACCTCCTTTAGGAGAGTGGTGCTGAGTATGTTGCTCCATCCTCTTTCATAAAGCATGGGGCAGGCAGCAGGCTGTAGTGTCCGATGTCTTTCCAGCTAAAGTAGTTGGTACTTTAAAATCATCGAATCAAAACAAAAGAACAATTCTTTGTCATCTCTGTGGTGCTCCTGCCTTTGGGGTCTTGTATACTTGAATACGGGAGTCTAAGCTTATCTAATTAGGACTTAACCGCTTAATGGAATTTTTCTTTCTACATTAACATTAGAAAATGTAAAAACAAAAAGGTTGAAGAAGCTTTGATTGTCTGCTTCTTCTCAGCATTGCTCCCTTCAGTGAGCCACCACTAATTGAGTGGGTCCTGGAACATCAGGGTAATGAGAGTCCAGATTTCTCATCTTTTCAATATTGTGTCTTTTTTTAAAGTAAAATTTTTTTAGTAATTAAGTCATTTATGAGTAAAGGATTCAAATTCAATCTTCTTTTCTCACCACACTTAATGTTGACTTAAACCAGTGGCTCTCAACCATTCTAATTGCTGTGATCCTTTAATACAGTTTCTTATGTTATGGTGATCCCCAACAATAAAGTTATTTTTGTTGCTTCATAACGGTAATTTTGCTACTGTTATGGTTTGTAATGTAAATATTTTTGGAGATGGAGGCTTAACAAAGGGGTCTGGACCCACAGGTTGAGAACTGCTGACTTAAACAGCCTATTCTTCATTCATTCACATTTATCAACTGTAGATACCAGATTTTTTGCTAGGTCCTGGGGAAACTCAATTCCAAGTCTTTTTTTTTTTTAAAGATTTATTTATTTATTATATATGAATACACTGTAGCTGTCTTCAGACACACCAGAAGAGGGCATCCAGATCTCATTACAGATGGTTGTGAGCCACCATGTGGTTGCTGGGATTTGAACTCAGGACCTCTGGAAGTGCAGTCAGTTCTCTTAACCTCTGAGCCATCTCTCCAGCCCCCAATTCCAAGTCTTAAAACACAAACTTATTGGAAGAAGATGTGTATAAAAAAAAAAACAAAAACAAAAACAACACTGGATGTAACAGGAAAGCCAAGGACTCAGGATGTTGAATTTCCTTTTCCCAGACTTTTCCACGGTAGTCAAGCTCATACATACACACATTGCTTCTCATAAAGTAAGGATCTTGAGTGTCTAAAGCTCTGACTTTTTTAGTTTAGAATTCAGTGTATTTAACAATCTATATCATCCTTTTGAATCAGGTTGTAATCATGTCTATTTGTTCTTATGCAAATCCCTTAGACATTATCTATGAACAATCTTTTAGCTGGTGAGTGGTGGCACATGCCTTTAATCCCAGAACTTGAGAGGCAAAGGCAGCCAAATCTCTTGAGTTCCAGGCCAGTCTGGTCTATAGAGTCAGTTCTGGTACAGCCAGGGCCCTACTGAGAAAACCTGTCTCCAAAAACTAAAAAAACCAACCCCCCCCCCAAAAAAAAGGAAACAGATTTTATTTTTATTTTATACAACTGGTTCAAATATACTTTTTACATTTTAAATTCCTAAAATAGGTTCTAGCTATATTTAATTAAAGGTAGTCACCATGACAAACCTCCAAATATTACAGTTTTCCCCACAGACAAGTTTATAAATGCTTCAAAATATCTGCTGGAACTCTAACATGCTTTAGAAAATTTTGTAACAGGGCCCCAGACCTTAGTAAGCCCCTAGACCTTAGCACAACTGACTCCATGATGGAAATACCATTCAGGCTGTAAAACTCAGCAGGTAGACAAGCACTACCTGCCAAAACTAAAACAAAGGCCTACTCCATCAAAGTCCATATAGTTCTGGGAAAATATCAAAGTGTACTAACTTTGCTTTTTAGCTCTTATAATTTCACTTCTGGCTAACTGTTGTTTTTAACTAAAGTATTTCAAATCAGAACATGTGGTGGTTTTTTTTTTTATTTTTTTTTATTTTTATTTATTTATTTTTTTTTTTTATTTTTTTTTGCTTAAAAGTTCGTCCTAAGAAAGGCTCAGTGCTACACTGGAGTCTCAAATCTCAGTGCAGTTACTGGCCAACTAATAAAGACTTTCTATTAGCTTAAACCTATGTTTAAGCAGTCTTCTCAATTTAGCAACAATTTTAGGCTTGAGAATGTTTCATGCTAGTTTTCAGAAGCCCCTGTTTCTGAGACAGGTTCATATGACTTTTCTTTGAGTATGACTTACTCTTTCACACAGGTCTTCAGTGAATGCAATTATTAGTTCTCATCAAATGTTCAGCTTTGTTAAGTTTCTGTAGACAGTCAAAGAACATCTAAATCTGTTGGAATCAGCTTTTTAAAACAGTTAAGGGGATTTCCTATGTCACTGTTACCCCCAAAACCCCTAACTCATTTCTGAACCTGGGACATGCTTGCCAAGGAAGTCAAAGGTTGGCATTAATTGATGTATGGCTGTCACTCTTAGTTCTTGTTGAGATGATTTGTTTTACAGAAGCAAATATAACATATGCCTGTATGAAATAAAAGCTTTTAGAGTTCATCAAAACATAGCTTCTTGTTGACCGTTTTTAGACCTTTCACTACAAATATTATTACAAATATTAGTGGTGGTATAAGAGGTACGTTTTGTACCTCTTGTAAAGTCACTGAAACAACTGCTTGTTCAGTTTGTGAATAAATTGAACCCATTTGGGCTTTGCTGTCGTGGCTGCTTTGGTCAGCTTTCTACCCTTGTAATTCATATCATATTTTATTTTTAGCTTTCTAAGGAACTTCTATATCGTTTTTCAAAGTTGCTGGACAAGTTTACATTTCTACAATGGATCAGAGGATACAGAACAATGTTATAGCTACACAATGGAATATTACTCACCCACAAAGATGAATGAAACCATGATATTTGCATGAAAATGAATGGAACATGAGGTCATCACATTAACAAAACAAGCCAGATTCAAGAAGAAAAACATAACTTATGCTGAATCTGGGTTTTAAAATATCATGGAAGTAGTGTAGTGGGCTATGGAACTATAGTTATTCCATCTCATGAAAATATTCCTAAGAATACATTAAGTGTTAAAACTATCCTGGGTAAAACTGGTCTCTGTACTAGACCCAAATTCACAGGGTAAACTGGTCTCTGGCCTAGTCCTACAGTCCTGTGCAATATTACCTTGAACTAAAGGTTAACTGCCCGACCATATAACCATTACCTCTCCACTTCTGTAAACAGCTTCTGCAAATGATGCTTGCTTTCCATATACATTATAATTGTGGGTTTTTTACCATTAAAAACTTAAACCAAATGGAAGTCAGGTTTGCTTCCTATTAATCTTCTTGGGACTGGTGGTTAATGAAGACTCCATTCTGCTTATTCAGGCCTCTTGGGAGTTTTTCTCTTCAGGTACCTTGTAAGAGTAGAGGAGCTATTAGGGAAGAAGACAGGAGGGAAGAGAGAATAAGAGAGAGTAATAGGCAATTAATGTAATTAACATATATAAAATGCATATGTGAAAATTTCCTTGTAAAAGTTACTATTTTGTGCAATGAATACATACTAATGAAAAATGCATTCATAAGATGACATTTCATGTTAAATATTTTTAATATTCATTTTTATTTTGAACTAATTCATGAATGTTGGCAGAATCTGCTAATTGTCCCAAATACTGATTATTTTGTTTTTCTTATTTTCAATAACAGTTACTCAATACCAGCTGGACACAGGTTCCCTGAACCAGTGACTGACTGTCTTTTCCAGTCTTATTAGAGTAAGTTCTGGGTTGTGTACTTAAATTTTTACTAAGTGCATAACCTATATAAATTCTAAAACACGGCATGAATCTTGCATTTTAAAAAAATTGGGCATACATTTTCCTCTTTTTTATTCTAACTTTAGGTAGGCTGAACCAGCTTCAACCATGCAGCTGACAACAGTAGTCTAAGGCAGTGTATGAAAGTTATAGTTTCTTTTCTTTTTTTTTTCAAGATTTAT